AGTAGCGTTGTTTCCATTTTGTTCAGCATCCTTCCATGGCAGAACGGTGTCAGCAGCAGGAACATAGATCATACATCTAGTTGACAGAGACTCTTGTGAGTCTACAGACAGAACTAGAGAGTAACTACAGCTATCTAGGCCTACTGGATATTCTCATGTCCAACACACAAATCAAAATCAAATCAAATCACATTTTATTTGTCACATGCGCCGAATACAACAGGTTTAGACCTTACCGTGAAATGCTTACTTACAAGCCCTTAACCATTTTAAGAAAAATAAGAGTTAAGAAAATATTTACTAAATAAACTAAAGTAAAAAATGAAAGAGCAACAATAGCGAGGTTATATACAGTAGGTACCGGTACCGAGTCAATATGCAGGGGTACAGGTTAGTCCAGGTAATTGAGGTAATATGTAGGTAGAGTTAAAGTGACTATGCATAGATAATAAACAGAGAGTAGCAGCAGCGTAAAAGAGGGGAGGGGGGGACAATGCAAATAGCCCGGGTGGCCATTTGATTAACTGTTCAGCAGTCTTATGGCTTGGGGGTAGAAGCTGTTAAGAAGACTTTTGGACCTAGACTTGGCGCTCCGGTACTGCTTGCTGTGCGGTAGCAGAGAGAACAGTCTATGACTTGGTGGCTGGAGTTTTTGGCAATTTTTAGGGCCTTTCAATGACACCACCTGGTATAGAGGTCTTCTGAAACACACACACAGAGTAGCTATCTAGGACTAGTGGATATTCTCACGACGAGGAATTAAAGTTATGTATTTTCCCATCTACGGTACTGTCACGGAATCAGCCGAGGCTGCCCCTCCTCCTTGCTCGGGCAGGCTTCGGCGTTCGTCGTCCCCGGAGTACTAGCTGCCACCGATCTATGTTTCAGTGTTTGTCTAGTTTGTCCTGATTGTTTTCACCTGTTTCCCATTATGTTATATTGTATTCCCTTTATAAACCCCTGTCTCTCATTGGTTATTGTGTGTGATTGTTTTCCGTTAGGTCGGCAGTGCTGGTTGTATGCGATTATTGTCCCTCCCTGTTTGGAGGTTTGTTTTGTACTTTCTTTACTGTGTTGAGTAAAGTACGTTCTGCCAGTAGTTCGGTGTCCTGCGCTTGACTTTGTTTCCCGCATACACGTCACCTTGACAGGTACGTAACAGAATACCTGCGTGGCTAAAGGTTTAAAATAGTCCATGTGTTGGACCAACTACATGTTCATGTTAAAGTCATAAAGAAACTGTTCCTGTAAACGACAGTATCAGTTAACATTTTATACTACTGACCTTGACATCCGATCACTACTAACACCAGACATTACCTACTGATAACTGCTACTTCCATTCAGCCCTGTTCTGTTGTCTCCCTGCAGTTCATGGGAACTATACAATAAGATCCTTGCCGCCCAGGCGACATGTAACAACCCAGGTGACATACATCACTGTGTAATCAGTCAGGAGAGAAGGGAAAGCTATAATCATCATCTTGGTAAAACGGTAAAAGGTGTGTGTCAGGGTTCTAGTGTGATTGAGTCCTGTGAATATATGTGTGCGTACGTGTGTGTGTGTGTGTGTGTGTGTGTGTGTGTGTGTGTGTGTGTGTGTGTGTGTGAGTGTGGGTATGTGTGTGTAGGTGTTCAAACGTGTGCATGTGTGTGTGTGTGTGTGTGTGTGTGTGTGTGTGTGTTGTGTGTGTGTGTGTGTGTGGTGTGTGTGTGTGTGTGTGTGTGTGTGGTGTGTGTGTGTGTGTGGTGTGTGTGTGTGTGTGTTGTGTGTGTGTGTTAGGCCTGCCCAGGGGGAGGACCATGGAAGGTTTCGGCAGACCTGGTTGGCCTCAAACACACACACACCCGCACACACAGCCTGTTGAGAGGAGCTGTTGGCATAGTAACAGGAGCAGTAAGAGGAGCTGAGATATGGGTCTGTTTTCTCTGGAGACAGAGCTGCTGCTGCGCGGTGTGTGTGTGTGTGTGTGTGTGTGTGTGTGTGTGTGTGTGTGTGTGTGTGTGTGTGTGTGTGTGTGTGTGTGTGTGTGTGTGTGTGTGTGTGTACATGCGTGTCTGCCTGCGCCAGTGGAGGCTCCTCAGAGGAGGAAGGGGAGGACCATCCTCCTCAGTGAATTTCATGAAAATAAAAACAGTGAAACATTAAAAAAGTTATCATTTTTAGATAAAACTATACTAAATATATTCACATTTCACCAAATAATTGATTAAAACACACTGTTTTGCAATTAAGGTCTACATGGTCTCTGTAGGGTAGCACCATGGTGTAGCCGGAGGACAGCTAGTTTCCATACTCCTCTGGGTACATTGACTTCAATACAAAACCTAAGAGGCTCATGGTTCTCACCCCCTTCCATAGACTTACACAGTAATTAATACAACTTACGGAAGATGTCCTCCAACCTATCAGAGCTCTTGCAGCATGAACTGACACGTTGTCCACCCAATCAAAGGATCAGAGAATGAATCTAGTGCTGAAATCACAAGCTACAGCTAGCTAGCACTGCAGTGCATAAAATGTGGTGAGTAGTTGACTCAAAGTGAGAGACAGACAATAGTTGAACAGTTTTTAACAAATTATTTTCTTTAAAAATGAAGGAGAAGCAAGAGAGCGAGAGAGATAGAGAAAGAGAGAGAGCTAGCGATATTTCAATGTTATATATTTTTTTCACTTTCACTTAGCTAGCGAATGCAGCTAGCTAGACTAGCCTACTCAAACACCCGGCTCAAACAGAGAGGGATGCTACAGTTAGTTAGCTGGCTATGGCTATCCAACACTGGAACTCTTCCAAGTCAAGGTAAGATTTTGGTTTTATAAATGTATTGCCACTGCGTCCCACCGGTGTAACTGCTAAACTGCTTGCTGACTGTACACTGTACTGAATGATTGTAGCGGGTTTACTAATGCATTAGTTCTAGTAGCTATGTTGACTAGCTATGACGTTAGCTAATATGGTAACAAAGATGTAGGCTCTGTGTTTAGCGGTTATGGTATGAAGGTTTTTTCGCCTAGTCACAGACAGCTGATGTATTGTGCACTGAAGTCCACAAGCGAAGGGAAAAGGTAAGAGGAGAAGAGCGCGTATGATGCGAGAATTCTACAACGAGCAAAATGATCATGCTGTTTGTATGTGGTTGCTATGAAAGTGAACTGTGTTTGGGTGTGATCAGGCGTGTATTCATTCCGCCGACTCTGTTGAAAAACGTTTCTTAAACGGAAGCAAACGTAACGAAGCGGGGATAAACATACCTGAATTTGCCCAATAGAAACTCTTGTTTGCAACTGTTGGACTAATGATCACACCCTAGATCAGCTAGATGCAGGCAAGAGTGTGCAAGGCGGTATTGAATGTGTTGCTGTCTGTCACCTTGATTACTCAAAATGTTCCTCTCGACCTGTGCACCTACTTGTAAACTTTCATTCACAGGCTAGGTTGTAGCAACCTCATGATGGGTATAGGGAACATTAGAGTATCATGTAGTAGCTTAAACCTATGGATGTTACATTGATCTGGGTGAATGGAATATGAATGACAGTCATCCACTGTAAGAAGAATAAGGTCATTCTCTTCTTAAGCGTCACCGACCGCCACTGACCTGCACGTGTGTCAAGTGGTGTTACAAGCATAGATGACGTCTCACCTCTTGTGAGAGCAGAATTTGGAGCAGGACAGTATCTGGTCTTTAACCTCACACCAGCTGATTTAGACCCTTTTAGACCAAAGGAAGCGACGCATTTAGCATTTACTCAGACCTCTTTATTTGTGCTTCTTTCTCATGCTTCCTCTCCTTCTAAATGTCTCTTCCCCTGCCCCCTCACTTCCTCTCTCCTTCCTCTCTCTCTCCCTCTCCCTCTCTCCATCTCTCTCTCTCTAGCTCTTCAATGATCTCAGAGAGAGAAATGGAGAGAGATGGAGGGAGGCAGAGAGAGGGAGTGTTAAAGAGGGGGGAAAATATTGCATATTGTCCCTCAGTCTCATGAGAAAGAGAGAGGCACAGGGAAGGAGGGAGGGAAAGATAGAGAGAGAGGGAAAGAGAGGGGAAAAGCAGAGTTAATTTGGGATTCTGGTTGCTCTGACTCATCCTGGAGATCCTCCCCATCCCTCCCTTTCTGCCTCCATTCCCCCCTCCTTTCCCCCTCCTACCTCCATTCCTCCCCCTCTCCCCCTCCTTCCCCCTCCTACCTCCATCCTCCCCTCCTCCTCCTCTTCTCCTCCTACCTCCATTCTCCTCCTCCTCCTCTCCCCCTCTTCATCTCCCTCTCCCCCGTTTGTACCCAAGCAACTCCAAAGTTAAAAGGAGCGCATCCATTTTAGCATGTGATCTCTTGTGGGAATTGAAGCTGCTACACAGCTCAACCATGTCAAGCCAGCTCTCTGTGTAAGTGTGTGGGTAAAGGACACAGGTAATTTATACAGCATAGAACAGGGTCCAGTAGCAAAGGTCCGGATGGATATTGTCATTTAGTAAGAAACCCCCCCACCTCTCAACCCATACAACCCCAAGCTGTTCACACTGTTCACACCCTTGTTGTCGGTGGAGAGAATATTTAGCAGTTTTAAAGCTAATTACCTGCATTTCTACACATTTTTCCATGGAGCGGAGAGAACATGTTGTAGTTTTAAAGCTCATTTCATTTAATTCTACACATTTCAGCCATGTTTTATGTGTGTTCATATGAGACCAGGGGTGGAGGCCCGACTGAGTTCCTAAAATATATATATTCTATTTAATTTTTATTTAAAAAAATAAATAAATCCTATTTATTTATCGAAAATGACAGGCGGATCGCCTGTTGAGTATGGCTGGCATAGAGTATGTGTTGTACAGTAGTCAATCAAACCAGTTCACACCATGACTATATATAACAAACCAGTTCAAACCATCACTATATATAACAAACCAGTTCACACCATCACTATATATAATAAACCAGTTCACACCATGACTATGTATAACAAACCAGTTCACACCATGACTATATATAACAAACCAGTTCACACCATGACTAGGTATAATAAAGGATACTTCCACTCCACAATGCTGATGCATGCTCTCCGGATGGGGTTCTTGAGGGTGAGACAGAGCAGTGCTCTGGGAGGTCTGGTGGGGGCCGTGTTGGTGGGTTTCTTGGGCTTGTTGCTGTAGTGCTGTCTCCTCCTCTGTGTGGAGCTGGCTGTGGAGATGGGCGCGCCAGCGTTCCCCATCTGCTTGGCCTGCCGCGCCGCTTCGATGGCCGCCTGCCAGGTAAGGGCCGCCCCGGGGCCGCTGGGGATGTGCTCGGCCGCTAGCCCCACCACCGCCCCTCCGACCACGGCCTCCAGGGGCCCACATCCACCTCCACCTCCACCCAGGGCTGTGATACCACCCACACCCACGCTGCCTCCCCCATCTGCAGCGCTGGTATCGTTCAGGCTGGGCGCCACCACCGGCGGCGGCAGCGGTGGGGGGGAGTAGTCGGAGCCTGGAGGGAGGAGAGAAGGGGGAGAGGGGTGAGTAGGGTGACTTGAGACGTGGGATACATTGGCGGAATGGGGTCATTGGGAACATTTTGTTTGGTGCATCTATGTACCTTTATCTATTTAATGGAGTTAGTTTAGAGGGAGATTGCTTATTGCCATTCAGATTTTAGAAGTCAGACCAGTCCTACTCTGTTGCTAATTTAATACAGACAAATGTAAGAGCACAACTGTCATACAGTATTGTAAAAAAAAAACAATCCTTGCTTTCATTATAACAAACATTCAGACAGACAGAGAGACATTCAGTGCAGAAGAGCAGCCGTGATCTGAAATGGGTTCATTTGAACATGTGAGTGAAGGCCATTCTCTGAACTAGTGTGTAATCGGACTGGAGAGAGAGAGAGGAGGAGAGGAGAGGAGAGGAGAGGAGAGGAGAGGAGAGGATGAGGTGAGGAGCGAGGAGCGGAGAGGAGAGGGAGAGGAGAGGATGAGGAGAGGAGAGGAGAGGAGAGGAGCAGGAGGGAGGAGAGGAGAGGAGAGGAGCGGAGAGGAGAGGAGAGGAGAGGAGAGGAGAGGAGAGGAGAGAGAGGAGAGGAGAGGAGAGGAGAGGAGAGGAGAGAGGGAAGAGACAGGGAAGAGGAGGGGAGAGATAGAAAAGGCAAAAAATAGGAGAGAGAGAGAGAGAGAGAGATGAGAGAGAGAGAGAGAGATGAGAGAGTTACAGAGAGATTTACCCTACCCCAAGTACCCCATGTCTCAGCTAGATTACAACCAGAAACAAAGTACTGTACATGTCAAACTCCAATAATACTGTAAAAGATCCCTACTAATCATGTACTAACACTGTTCTAAGACCATCCATGCCTAATCTCTCTGCACAGTATTCCATGTCTAAACCCAGCCTAACACTGATCTGAGGACAGAGTTAAGAGGGATAAAGCAAGGCCGCAGTGGTGGAGATTACTGAAAAACTATAGCTAGGTTTCCATCCAATTGTCGACAGATTTTCATGCAAATATTCAAAAAATGCACATTTTCCCACCATTTTCTATCAAATTGACTTGTCGTGATAAATGTCTTTGAGTGATGACGTAGTGCATATAAAAATTACTTATGCAGTTAAAATTAAATGGGTTTCCATCACATTTCCAACCCTACTGATGGTTTTGTCACTCGACTACAGTGTGGGTATAGCCAACATGATGAGAATATTATGGACAAAAATATATCATTCTTACTATGTCAAACGGCAGCCAAGCATCAAGCATCATGTCACCAGAATAAGACCCTTGATATTTATTGGAAAGGTTCATCATATAACTCATTTCATCTGTAGCCTAATGAACTGCATGTCTTCCCGAGTCGTAGTGGGAGGACCACACAACATGTCATCACGTGGCTCCAGGGTTTCCTTCCATATGATGGTTATTATATCAATATTTGCGCATAAAAAGCGTTTTTTAGCTAAATTAATATTACTGACACAAAAAGATCCCACTTTGTCTAGCGTATCTTGTTTTGTCTAGCGTATCTTGCTTTGTCTAGCGTATCTTGTTTTGTCTAGCGTATCTTGTTTTGTCTAGCGTTATCTTGTTTTGTTCTAGCGTATCTTGTTTTGTCTAGCGTATCTTGTTTTGTCTAGCGGTATCTGTTTTGTCTAGCGTATTGTTTTGTCTAGCGTATCTTGTTTTGTCTAGCGTATCTTGTTTTGTCTAGCGTCTTGTATCTTGTTTTGTCTAGCGTATCTTGTTTTGTCTAGCGTATCTTGTTTTGTCTAGCGTATCTTGTTTTGTCTAGCGTATCTTGTTTTGTCTAGCGTATCTTGTTTTGTCTAGCGTATCTTGTTTTGTCTAGCGTATCTTGTTTTGTCTAGCGTATCTTGCTTTGTCTAGCGTATCTTGTTTTGTCTAGCGTATCTTGTTTTGTCGACAAGTTTACTGATACATTTGCTGTTTCCATCAGGCCTGTCGTGGATTTTCTTTATCCGACATGAACTTTACAGCATAAAGAGGTTGGAAACCTGGTTAGTGTCTGTACTAATAAAGACAAAGGAAACACAAAACACACAACAACACAACAAACGAAACAAAAAAGAACAAACAAGAATACAACCAAAAAAAAAAAAAACAACAAACACAAAACAAACAAAAAACAACAAAACAAGAAAAACAAAACAAAACACAATAACAACCAAGAAAAAAACGAAACAACAAAAAACACAACACAAGCGAACTAACATCGTACCAAAAACCCACATACACACCACAAACACAACAAACAAGACCACACAAAAAACAAACAAACACACAAACACAACACCACACACACAACACACACACACACAACACACACACACAACACACAAACACACAACACCAACACACACACACACCACACACACACACACACACACACACACACACACACACACACACACACACACACACACACACAGACAGTCACACACACACACACCACCAACACACACACACACACACACAAACAAACACACACACACACACACACACACACCACACACACACAACACCAACACGACAGCACACAAACACACACCACACACACACACACACAACACACACACACACAATCCACACACACACAACACACACACTAGTCTAGTCTCACTCTCACACACACACCCAACACTGATCACACACACACACAACATCCAACCACACAACACAGCAGACACACAGCACCACTACACAAAACACACCACCAAACACACCCCACACACATCCCCCACACACACACAGACCTAATCACTATCATCCTAATAAACCCTTCACAAACCATGAATGAACCCGCAGAGGATTCACGAGCACAGCCATGAAGAAGGTTACACCGTGTGTGTTTGTTGTGTGGAGAGGATGTCAGTCAGAGACACTCAGACCGTGGTTTCTTGAAAGGTTAAAACTCACAGCCGATCTGTCACTATATTCAATTAACATCACTTCATTATCCACAGAAACCAGAAAGGCGAAAAATATCACTTATTTTGTTCATTCAGGGGAGGAGGAGAGGACAGAGGGATGGAGGATGAGGAGCAGAGGACAGAGGGATGGAGGATGAGGAGCAGAGGACAGAGGGATGGAGGATGAGGAGCAGAGGACAGAGGGATGGAGGATGAGGAGGAGGAGAGGACAGAGGGATGGAGGATGAGGAGGAGGAAGAGGACAGAGGGATGGAGGATGAGGAGCAGAGGACAGAGGGAGGAGGATGAGGAGGAGGAGAGGAACAGAGGGAGGGAGGATGGAGGAGGAGAGGACAGAGGGATGGAGGATGGAGGAGGAGGAGAGGAAAAGAGGGATGGAGGATGAGGAGGAGGAGGAGAGGAACAGAGGGAGGAGGATGAGGAGCAGAGGACAGAGGGATGGAGGATGAGGAGGAGGAGAGGACAGAGAGGATGAGGAGAGGAGGGAGGAGGAGAGGACAGAGGGAGGGAGGATGAGGAGAGGAGGAGAGGACAGAGGGATGGAGGTATGGAGGGGAGGAGAGGACAGAGGGAGGAGAGGAGGAGGAGGAGGAAGAGAGGGATGAGGAGAGGAGGAGGAGGAGAGGAAAGGGGATGGGAGGATGAGGAGAAGAGGACAGAGGGATAGAGGATGAGGAGGAGGAGGAGAGGAACAGAGGGATGGAGGAGGAGGAGCAAGAGGACAGAGGGATGGAGGATGAGGAGGAGGAGGAGAGGACAGAGGGATGGAGGATGAGGAGGAGGAGGAGAGGGCAGAGGGATGGAGGATGAGGAGGAGGAGGAGAGGACAGAGGGATGGAGGATGAGGAGGAGGAGAGGGCAGAGGGATGGAGGATGAGGAGGAGGGGAGGACAGAGGGATGGAGGAGGAGGAGGAGGAGGAGAGGACAGAGGGATGGAGGATGATGAGGAGGAGAGGACAGAGGGATGGAGGATGATGAGGAGGAGAGGACAGAGGGATGGAGGAGGAGGAGGAGGAGGAGAGGACAGAGGGATGGAGGAGGAGGAGGAGGAGGAGGAGAGGACAGAGGGATGGAGTATGAGGAGGAGGACAAGCTGTCAGTTATTCGAGCAGTGAGTAAATCCTTGCAGAAATCAACTACAAATTGGATCAATCATTCATTAACTCATTACTTTATTGATTAAGATGAGATTGACATTGTTTAAAGTCTGATCGTGACTGGCTCTGTTTTCATCCAATGTAATTTCTATATTTAACTGCAGTTAAGTGTTCCTTACAGTGCCCAAAGACAAAACAGTCAAAAGGGATCTGTTTCTTATTGTGATACATGACTTGGGCTTTGTCCAAAATGGTACCCTATTCCTTTTATACTATACTATGGGCCCTGGTCAAAAGCAGTGCACTATATATTAAATAAGCTGCCATTTGGGACATGCAAGCCGTTCTGAACCGCCTAGTGAAAATTAGCTATGGAAAATGTCTGTTCTGGTCTACAGAACCTCCAAATTACCTATTTTCTCATGATTTGGTTGGGTCTAATTGTGTTGCTGTAAATCGCTCTGGATAAGAGCGTCTGCTAAATGACTAAAATGTAAATGTAAATGTAGCTCTGTGGGTTCTGTTTGTGTTTGTGAACAGAGCCCCAGGACCAGCTTGCTTAGGGGACTCTTCTCCAGGTTCATCTCTCTGAAGGTGATGGCTTTGTTATGGAAGGTTTGGGAATTGCTTCCTTTTAGGTGGTTGTAGAATTTAACGGCTCTTTTCTGGATTTTGATATTTAGCGGGTATCGGCCTAATTCTGCTCTGCATGCATTATTTGGTATTTTACGTTGTACACTGAGGATATTTTTTGCAGAATTCTGCATGCAGAGTCTCAATTTGATGTTTGTCACATTTTGTGAATTCTTGGTTGGTGAGCGGACCCCAGACCTCACAACCATAAAGGGCAATGGGTTCTATAACTGATTCAAGTATTTTTAGCCAGATCCTAATTGGTATGTCGAATTTGATGTTCCTTTTGATGGCATAGAAGGGCCTTCTTGCCTCGTCTTTCAGATCGTTTACCTGTGGCGCTGATGTTTTGGCCGAGGTCTCTCTCTCTAAACTACTTTTGGTTATTGTTGCCACGGTGTCCGTCATAGCTAACTTCATTTCCTCGTTAAAGTGCTCCTCCAATACAAAGACACAGAACACCAACAGGAGCCAATCAAATGATCGTAATCCAAAAGCTCAGGAACAGGAAATGTACCCAACGTCGTGGCTGCGAGGTAATCAAATGTGACACTCAATCCAAAAATTGATGTATGGCTTCCTCTGATGGATCCCCCTCTAAATTGCTTTACGGACTAAGATTAATGGAACTGTACTCTAGTGACATCATCCGTTACATGACTAGAAATACATTTGCTTTTGCTGCTTGCTAAATGGCACCCTATTCCCCATGTAGTGCACTACTTTTGACCAGGGCCTATATGGATCTGGTCAAAAGTAGTGCACTATGTAGGGAATATGGTGCCATTTGGGACCCAGCTTGCATCTCAATCCACAAGGATGCTAGCTTTGAGGCAGCATTTAAAGGCAGGAAGTTAAAGTCGCCATTTTGGATTGAGACACAGCCATTAATACTAAAGGAGAAACTGCCATTTTGGATTGAGACACAGCCATTAATACTAAAGGACAAATGGCCATTTTGGATCGAGCCAGCCATTAATACTAAAGGACAAACGGCCATTTTGGATCGAGACACAGCCATCATTGCAATTCTAGGGGACATCCTTTTCCCAACAGAAGCCCCAACAAGAGTCCGAGACAGATTCACAATCAACACTCTATGATGTTCAGAATTTAATTAGTAATTGATGAATTGATAAGTGAATTGGATTAGCAATGCTCCTGTGACACCTTGATGTGCTGTCAGTCCTACAGCTTCATTGTCATTGAGATAATCTCATAAATCAGACAATTATCACATAAATTCAACGTGGTTAAGCACTGTTAGGAATTAATACACAATAGTCCTACAGGAATGACCCTGTGATTGGTTGTAATGAGGTGTATGTGTGGACCAGCAAACCTGGTGAGAGGTGAAAAGAAAACCTGGTTTCAAAAAACTAATAAAGCAACACCTCACGGCACAACGCCTCTCCCTTATTTGACCTACTTGTGTGTATCTACTGACATGTATGTGTAACTGATAGATGCACACACACACACAAGCAGAAAGTACACATACACAGACAGACACACCACACACACACACACACACACACACACACACACACACACACACACACACACACACACACACACACTCACACTCACACTCACACTCACACTCACACACACTCTCACTCACACACACACACACACACACACACACACACACACACACACACACACACACACACACACACACACACACGGGCAGTAGACAAGGGTTGTAACTCACTCGCTCCTTGGACTGACACTGACCAATCCCTGTGGAGCCTCTCTCCCTCTCTCCTCTCTTACTGACCTCGTTTCATGACCTCCCCCCTCATCCCTCCTTCCCCTCCCCCCTCATCCCTCCCCCCTCATCCCTCCTTCCCCTCTCTCCCCCCGCCCAAAACATATGAGCTGCCACTCAGTCAACTCTTCTCACTTTACACCTCTCTCCCTCTCTCTCTCTCTCTCTCTCTCTCTCTCTCTCTCTCTCTCTCTCTCTCTCTCTCTCTCTCTCTCTCTCTCTCTCTCTCTGTGTATGTCTCTCCCCTCTTCTCCTCTCCTCCATACTCTATAATATAAATAATAATATGCCATTTAGCAGACGCTTTTATCCAAAGCGACTTACAGTCATGCGTGCATAATTTTTTTTTGTGTATGGGTGGTCCCGGGGATCGAACCAACTACCTTGGCGTTACAAATGCCGTGCTCTACCAGCTGAGCTACAGAGGACAACTAACTCTAACTGGGTTAACACACACACATCCATACTCTAACTGGGTTAACACACTCAGACACACATCCATACTCTAACTGGGTTAACACACTCAGACACACATCCATACTCTAACTGGGTTAACACACTCAGACACACATCCATACTCTAACTGGGTTAACACACACAGACACACATCCATACTCTAACTGGGTTAACACACACACATCCATACTCTAACTGGGTTAACACACTCAGACACACATCCATACTCTAACTGGGTTAACACACACACATCCATACTCTAACTGGGTTAACACACTCAGACACACATCCATACTCTAACTGGGTTAACACACTCAGACACACATCCATACTCTAACTG